TAGCAGAAAACCATCTCGGTCTTTCTAGGAAATTGTACACTACAATTCTGATTTTGTTCCCTTTCATCTATCCATTCGGAACCTGATATTAAACTTTTAAAAAACAATTTATATATTTAACACATGTATATGGCTGCCTGCCCCATGTCACATATGTGATTGGGTGGCTGATAAACTGTTGAAACAATTTTTGTCTAGCTCAGATGCAACTTCCTAAGGATAAGGAGAGTACTAGTAATAGAATGCTAAAAATGTTACTTCAGATTTTGTGAATTGGAACAAAAATCTCTGAACTGCAAATCTGTCAAGAATAACAGATTGGGACTTGGCACTCTGATGCATTGGCTTTAACTCCTTGCTCCCCGGCTATGGCCACAAAATCAACCTTTCCAAAAAAGAGGAATTGGTCAGGAAAGAATTATTACTTAAACAATTGCTGGGCCTTTGCATCTCCTAACCACAGCACAAATATCTTTTGGCAACATGGTTCTTTGGTGTCCTAATGATCTAATGTTTACCTCATCTCCAACTAATGGGAGGCTTAAATTGTGGAATACCAGTGTTAAAGTTGTATTTTCTTTCTTTTTCCAATGGTGTCCCAAAGCCACTTCAAACTATTTAAATGCTATTAGTTTTGTTACACATTATCTTGGAGAAAAGCCAGTGCCTGTGGTGATTTAAAATGGATAAATGGAGGCAATGGAAGCAAGTACAGATCTGTAATAGGGATAGCACATATCATGCTTCTATAGTTTTCTGACAATCCATCTCAGCAGAGATGCAAGGTTATATGATGATTTATGGAGACAGTTCCTTGTTTGTTCTATTTGAAGTGAGAAACTGCCTAGATCAGCATCCCCTAAATTGGTTTGAATGGAGCCAAAAGATCTGTTGAAGTACAATTTCCAGCATCCCTTTATTATCAAACATGATAGGGTTTGATGATACTATTACCAAACATGATAGGGGTGATGGTGACTGCATTTTGAAAGCAAAACAAAACTTCCTTGCCAAATAAAATAAATTAGAGAAGTCTGTACTGAATTTTCTGTTTGATCTGCTAGTTATCCCTACAAAAAATCCACACTCCATGAATCAACCAATGCCCTACGTTCAGTGACAACTCTTTTGAGCAGGGGATAAGGAAGGTTTTTATCAGATGTTCTTGAGTGGCTCCACATTCAGATGAAAGAAACAAATGCAAATGAAAGTACAAAAGCGGAGAACCAGATCCAGACAGCTGCTTACAGTGTGTTGTTAAGATCTGGACCTTGAACAGCAACAGAAGGCTTCTTGCCAGAAATATTTGTTTGGATGTGGTCATAAACGAAGTATTATTTTGTAGAATAAATATATCAAGGCCAATGGGGAGCACTCCTTGAAATATAATAAGGAAGGAAGGTAGGTAAATTTGAATCTACAAATTACAGGGTTTTAACAAGCCTTAGAAAATGTTTACCATGTTGGTTCTCTGAGGGTAATGCATAAAATCTGTGAACCTTGGGTACCTCTATTGATTATTTAATGTTTTAACATTCTCTGTTATCAGCCCTTCAAAGTAGGCAAAGGCATGAAGAAAGCTTGGCAGAAGAGGTTTCTGAAACGCTCTTCACTGTTATAGAATAGAATTACAGAATCTTGAAAGCCTCTCAGTTTTTCTCTGCTACATCTTATACCAAACAAAATCAAGGCAGGATTATTTTGAGTTTCTTTCAAATGCTGGCCTCTTTTTCTGGATGGAGTGGTCTTTTCTGAAAGTCCTCCTTTTATTATTTGCTCATTCCTTTCCCATTCCCATTGCCAGATCCCTATTTCATCACATCTAAATGGCAGGTTTTTTTTTGACATACAGGTATCAATTTTATTCAAATTCTGCCTCCCTTTGCTTAGGCAATGAATTTATTTTTTATTCCACCTTTATTATTTTTATAAATAACTCAAAGCAGTAAACATACCTAATACTCCTTCCTCTTCCTATTTTCCCCACAACAACCATCTTGTGAGGTGGGTTGAGAGAGAGGGACTGGCCCAAACTCATCCAGTTGCCTTTCGTGGCTAAGGTGAGACTAGAGCTCAGTCTCCTGATTTCTAGCCTGATGCCTTTTTGTTTGTTTCACTGCATCTTAAACAATACACACACACTTTCCTGGTATTTTGATCAGTTTTAGCAAAGGCATTGTCCAATTTGCTTTGTACATCTTCTGTTCCTAAAGTACCCTGGAAAATAACTAGAAATGGGTGGTAGTACTGCACCAACTTCAGATTTTGGGAAAGCCATCTGCTCATCAATGAGCAGATACATTAAAATTCTGAATATAACCATATTGTGAGGATTCCTGTACAGCTAAATTTGGGATTTTAACTGTTCAGAGACTACAAGTTATTTCAGATTAGATCAGTGGTAGGTTGCCCCCGATTCGGACGGTTCACAAGAACCGGTAGTAAAATCAGCGGGAGGCCCCGCTCACCACCCCGGATGTTGTCATCGGCAATCTGCACATGCGCAGAAGCTTCTGCACATTACGCAGAAGCAAAGCGCATGCACGATCCCATTGCGAACCAGTAGTAAAGGTAAGTAGAACCCATCCCTGGATTAGATATAATGTCAGCTGTAGCTACAGGCAATAGTAATTCTTGGAATATAATAAATGAATGCTGTGTCTTCTGTCCAGCCAGATATACAGATGAGCTTGCTGACATCTTTCGAAACAGGATAAAAATGGTTTACCTGATAACATCTTGTCTTCTGCATGTTTACTAAAAGCTTCGCCTCAGTTATATTGTGTTACAGAAATCCCACCTGTTGCTTTAAACATTGATTTAAAGACGCAGTGGGCTGTACAAGATGTGGCTTCCAATCTACAAGTAAGAGAATAGTGCTTCTACTTCCAATCAGTTGATGGTGCGGCTGAGTCTTTTAATTGTACTGGATCCCAGCTTCCTTCTGTTGTGATGGCAAGGATGCTGCCAACTGGTTGGCAGGAATCACCTTGGGGTTAGGGGAGAATTCAGTTTGTTTCCCCTAAGGATCGAAATCATATCTGGCGATGTCCAAGTTCTTCAGCAAATGTGTTCCAACACTCTCTAGTTAAAACATGTAATAGAAAGTTGGGAAATTACAAAATGCATACTTTCTACCTAAATTGGATTATTTTCTCCATGCCAAAGAAGACTAATGTTTTGCTCATTGCAGAAAGGCTGCTTCATTGCCAGACAGAATGAATAATCACAAACAGAAGAGGTCCCTGGAGTATCTTTAACATACTTTTTTCCAGTGTGTATCCAATCTCTGTATAATAGGGAGGCCTACCAAGGCAGAGAAAATGACTACAAAGGGAGCTTAAGCCTTTCAGAAATTAAGCACTAGAGAGATGGAGAAATGTAAACAAAAATGGAAGAATTACCTTTAAAAGCAACAAAGTGCTTCTTACCTTGAAAGAAAAGCCAAGTGCCGATTATACTTGATTATACACTAACATGGCTTCTGTTTTTCAATTTTTTTAAGATGCTTTCCTATCTACTGCATATGATACAGGCTCCAATTACACTGATTAGGAAAGGAAAGCTTTCCAAGGCTATATGACAGCTTCTGTAAGTTTCTTTAAAGTATACAGTGACACTAATCTTTTTAAAAAATAGATGAAATTGGCAGTTTGTGCACTGTGCAGTAAAGGAACAAACTACAATAGATGCTATTCTTCCCTTCCAGCTAAGTTTGAATGAGAAAGAAGCCAGGAGTGGATACTGATTGGAAATTCAAATAGACAGCAAAGCTGAAAGGAGGCAGACTGCTCGAACTATGACTCCAAATACCTACTGAATCTCTTTTTCATATCGATGAGACTGGCAGTGCTACAGCTGTGGCTGTATAATCAACATGTTTGTCCTTGAAACACAGAGATGGGTAGCAAAAACTTGTTCTCTAAAAAAGCAGAGGAACTGGGGAAGGCAATAGAAGCAGATTTTAAAAGTGCCACCAAGCTATTCTCGTAGAGCAGCAATCTTTTGCAAACAAGGTTTTTTGGCAGATAGTGTTACACAGATAGACATTCACTTTCTCATCTCTAGTAGTGCCCCAAAGATGTCTCTCATTCAAATGAACAACTGGGAAAGTTCTAATTTTGCTTTAGGGAAAATTGCTGGTGCTCAGAAGAATATATTGAAATTTGGAACAAAGTAGCCTGTAGTATACAGAAAGGTGTATATCTCTAAAACAAATCTAAATATATATCTTATTTTTTAAAAAAAACCAAAGAAGGTCAGGTCTAGGGGGAAAGAATGAAAACAGAACCGTTAGCCTTCCATTTTGGGACTAAAGCCCCTAGGCCAGGGGTGGGCAAATGTGGCTCTTTTACAACCTGTGGACTTCAATTCCCAGAATTCCTGAGCCAGCTTGGCTGTCTCAGGAATTCTGGGGGTTGAAGTCCACAGGTTGTAAAAGAGCCCACCCCTGCCCTAGGCCAATCTAAGACTGATGTATAAGATTGGATCTGTCAATATCACATTCTTCTTTCAAAGCAAACAACAAACTGCCCAGCTTTCTGAAGCCCAGTTTAACTCTTCTGGTCTTCCCTACAATTCACACAACACAACTCAAAGAGACTGACCAGAGGAAAATATACAAAGTACTCACTTCTTCAGCTGGCAATGCAGGAAGTAAGAGCATTTTGGTTCTCATTCACAGAGGATCAGCCTTTCTACAGCACACCTCCTTTATTGAAAGGAGAAATGGATCCAGGTGAAAGGCTACTCAGGTAGTTTTAGCAGGACAGGATGCTATGGGAACAGGCACTAATTCTTTGTGAGTCATGGAGGGACCAACAGCCAATCAGAACTTGCCATGTGTCAGCCAGTCATTGGACCTGCTGATTAGAAACCATTCTTACTCATCCAGGTGGGCACACAAAATACTGTAAAGCATGATCTCCAGTGTAGCACAAATGACTAAATGGCCTAGGGAGGAGGGTAAAGGATTTTGAGGCACAGGTAGGGATTACTTTTGGTTGAAGCAAAAGTCTAGTAAGAGGGGAAAAAAAAACCTTCCCTGATTTTCAAGTCAAATCAGGGAAGAGTTAGGCCAATTTTAATAAACTAAGAGAAATAATAAGGAAGTTGCCATTAGCAAGAAGGTAACAATGAATGAAAAAAATGTAATAAATGGCTAAGAAAGAGCAGAAGAATTCTTTGCCTCTGTCTTCGCAGAGTGATTTGAAGCTAAAAATGAATACAATAGAAGAGGATACAGGTCAGTAAGGGTGTAATAAAGGAACCTTTAGCTATTCTAAATTATTTTAAGCATCCAGGTCCTGATGAACTACATCCTAGAATTCTGATAGAATTGTCAGAAACTGTCAGGATCCCTGTCAATTATCTTTGAAGACTCCAGGAAAACGGGGGAGATATCAGATGAGTAGAAAAGAGCAAATATAATCCCTCTCTTCAGGAAAGAAAAAAAAAAAGGAGCCCAATAATTATCAACCACGGAGTTGAACACAACATCCTAGAAAGATGTTAGAACATGTAATAAAGTTGGCCATATGTTATAACTTTTGAAGACAATTCTAAGATTGCTAAGAGCCAGTCTGTCAAAAATAAATCATGTAAGGCAAATTTTATCTCCTTCTTTGACAGGTAACTACTCTGATGTACAAGAGGAATGCTGTGGAAACAATCTACTTTCAGCAAAGCTTTTGACAAGGTTCCACATCTCACTATTCTCACTATCAAGCTTCAAAAATATAGTCGGCATACAATAAGGTAGGTCCACAAACTGGCTGGTTAATCACATTAGTCACATTCAAAGAATCAGTGTAAATGGTGCGACATCCTCTTGGAGAACTGCATCCAGTAAGGTTCCACAAAGCTCAGTTTCACAGCCAATGTTGGTCAACATTTTTATTTATCACCCAGATGGAGGGATTGATAAACTGCTTCAAAAGTTTATATGAAACAAGATCAAGAGGTCTAACCATTATAGAGGACAACAAAACAACATCAAGTCTAATCTGGACTAACTGGAAGACTGGTCTGGGAGGAACAAGATGTACTTTAATGGAGAAAAATGTAATGTCGTACATTTAGGGACTTTGAAAAAATGTATTAGGCATATACAAAATAGGGGATTCATGGCTTGGAAAAATTAAACCTGAGGCTAGCTTGGGTGTGATCACTGACAACAAATCTGTCTTCTCTAGATACTTGTATCACTTTTGCTGCTCTCCTCTGAACCCCTGTCTAACCTGTCCCTTTACCGAATTTTGAAGTCCAGCTTTCACGCTGCAATAGTAAGAGCAGGGAGGCAACATCTCCTTGAAATTGAGGGAAGTTACCCCTCCTAGAAGAATGAAATATTTTGAGAAATATTTAAAAAGGCCTAAAAGAGAAATCGAAATCTTAAAGGAGATAGAAACTCAGCCCCAGCTCCCTGCCCCCAGCAGATCTTTGGTGCCCATGAAGAAAGACTGGGCCATCTTATCTACAAGACAAAAGAGCTTCAGCTCCAGGGTAATGGGATTAAGACATGACCCTCCAGAACATAATAGGATCATCTAGCAGCAGAGCTTACCACGTGGCAGAATCTCCTAAGGACATTGCATCACCCAGCAAACTTCAACCAAGCCTGGGAGCTTGGTTGACCCCATAGGAATCTGACAACAGTCAATAGAATACATTTCTATTATTGAACAGGAACAGGAAGTTCAAGTTCAAAGCCCAAATGAAGGTATAAAAAACCCCCACTCTCAACTTCATGTGGTCAGCTGCACTAAGACCATGTGCTTGGTGGTTCTGTTCACCATTAAACCCTCTTTCCAGTCAGCCTCCATGTTTTCAGTGTCTTTCTCCCGGCTTGGAACTGAACCAGATAGATATTTCTTCCAACGAAATGTAATGGCAGTTTAGATCACACAGTTAAGCATGAGATGCCTGAATGTTACTTCTGCAGCAGTGGTGGGTTGTCCCTGGTCCGGTCCAGTTCTATAGAACCGGTAGTAAAACTGGTGGGAAGCTCCACCCACCCGCCACAACATCATGGGTGATCTGCGCATGCACGTGTGCTCCCATTGCGAACCGGTAGTAAAGGTAAGTAGAACCCACCCGTGTTCTGCAGTGATATTTGCCATCTGCAAACAACAGTGCTCCTCTTGATAAAAACTGTAGCAGGAGAAAGCTAAGACCATGTGCAATGAGGGTCCAGCAGTAGTAATTTATGATCATCTGGGGAAAGGAGCATAAACTTACTCTGTGTCTCGATCTGCAGCCCCAGCTGAAAGTAGTCTAAATATCTTCTATTTAAATGCTTGAAATAAAACACATCTCTGTAGAACTGCATGGGCTCTGGTCCACGGCTGTTTCTTTCAGACCCCAGGCTGCAAGGTTGGGCTAAATGTCTTTGTTTTGCCTAATAGTCAGTGGGAGGAAGCAAATACTTGTCTATTCTCCCCCATCCCATACAAGTTAGGAAAGCTGGGTTGCGGGTTCGTGACCCTGACATAAGAAATATGTTAGTTTACTTATCTGAGATTCTGCCATTTCTTCAAAAAAAAACAGGATGGAACTTAAAGAAACCTAACACCAATGGTATTTGAAATTCCCAGCAGCAGAACTCCGCCTGCTGGGAAGTTAGCTGGGATGCTGGTGAAGACTGATTCTGAATTATTTGTGCATAACATGCACTCATCATACCAGAGGGGAATCTTAGTATTGTTTAAATATACATAATGCTAACGACAACACAATCTGCATAAACTTCACAGTCATACACTTCTCTTTCAGCAGAGGAAGGAAATGCATATGCTATTTGGGGTAAATATTACTTGGGGGTTTGTATGCCAGGAATAGAGAGCTGGATCTGTGTACAAGGACAATGATGACATATTCAAGAATGCACAACAGGAAATCAGAAAAGTGGGGTGGTGGCAAACGAGCAACACTAAATATTAATTTATCAGAAGGGTAGGAAATGAAAAAAATGAGCAACCACGTGACCTTTCCTTTATTTCTTTCCAGATAATCATCCATTTATAATGGCTAAGAAGACATTTGTAACATTTTTTTCTGACTAGGTTTTAAAGCCAGCGAATATGATACCTTATTTGCCCCAAAATAAGACATCCCCTGATAATAAGCCCAATCGGGCTTTTGAGCACATGGCAATAAGGCCAAACACTTATTTCAGGGTTCAAAAAAATATAAAACAGGGTCTTATTTTCGGGGAAACACGGTATATTTATTTATTTATTTAGAAAATTTATATGGCCACCCATGTTAAACAAATAACTCTGGGTGGGTAACAAGTAGTCCATAAGGGAATATATATATATATATATATATATATGTTTATGTAAGTTTTCACGGGTATGTATGTGTGTATAGTTAATATTTCGGGTTTCTTCCCGTGTAATTGTGGATATATCCCTAAAAGGGTAGAAGCGACGTTTCGGCAGAATCCCATCTGCCATCATCAGGCTTATGCCAGTAGTCATTTTGCACTAACTGATGTTGGAATTTCAAATCTGGTGCTGGTATTCTGGGATGGCTCCACCTTTTCATTCTGATTGGTTGGGAGTCCCAGTATGTGTTTATTGGCTTGGCTTCGGGTGTATGGTCGGTTTTTCTCCACTAGGTGGCAGGGCTTTATCTTTGTGGCTGGTTTGAATATGATTTGGTTGGGATTTTTTTGTGCAATGTTTGGTCCATGTTCCACATATGGTGTCAAGATTCGTCTATCTATGAGAGCAGGTTTCCAAATAGTAGGCAGACGTGAAGTGTCATCCCGTTTATTCATGCAATATGGTCTTTTTTCCATTTCTATTGCTTCTCTGATTATCCTGCCATTGAGATGTTCTATTTTTGCAACTGTTTTTGTTTTATTAAAATTAATGTTGTGTCCTGTTGTATTTATATGTTGAACTAATGATGATGTGTGTTCTTGCTTTTGTATTGAGTTTTTGTGTTCCTCGATGCGCACACTCATTCTTCTGTTGGTCTGTCCAATGTATGTTGATGGGCAGGAAGCACATGGGATTTCATATATGCCTTGATCTTCTAATTCTATTTTGTCTTTGGGGTTTCTCAGAATGGACGATATCTTTCTATCTGTGCAAAATATGGTTTTGATGTTGTGTTTTTGTAGTACTTTGCTAATTTTATCTGTTGTTCCCCTTATATAGGGCAAGATTGTTTTGTTCCTCTTGTTGTTTTTTATTCTGTTTTGGTGTTGTATGTTTGATCATATTGATGACTTTATTTCTACAGAACCCATTTGATGTCAGTACATTAGTTAGTGTATATAATTCAGTTTGTAAATGTGCTTCATCAGCCAGACGTTTAGTTCTTGTGGTTAATGTTTTGGCAACAGAGTTTATTTGTGCTGGATGGTGGTGTGATTTGGCGTTGAGATAGCGGTTCGTATGTGTCTTCTTTTGATAGATGGTATGTCCTAAGGTGCCATCAGATTTTTTATAAATTAATACATCGAGGAAAGGTAACTGGTTTTCTGATTCTATCTCCATGGTGAACTTTATTTTGGGATGGAGGCTGTTCAAATGTACTAAGAAGTTTTCCAATTTATCTCTTCCATGTGGCCAGATCACAATATATATATATATATATATATATATATATATATATATATATATATATATATATAAAATAACAATCCTTGTACAAAAATAAAAAGCACAATTTTTTTTTAAAAAAAATCATAATGCAATACCAAGGCTTATATTAGTCATATAACAAACTCACAAAACACACACATTGGGCTCCTCTAACATCTTGGCCCCAACATATGGGGCAAGAGCCAGGTCTTCATAGCCTTCTTAAAGTCCAAGATAGCCATCACTATCTCTGGGGAAAGAACTTTCCCATCAGACAGGTGCCACCACAGCTGACCTGAAGAAATTCTCCAGCAAAATACAGAAATCTCTAACTGTATCCCATCCTCTGGCTTTACAGGTTTTAGACTCTAAAACTTAAGAGTATTGGTGAGTCATCTCCACTTATTAAATGACTCATTGGCCTCCAATTGTGACTTTGTGTTGATGTGCTCTATGAATTTAGTGATTTTAATCCTAGGATGGTGTGGCTTTTTCAACCAATCATGTTTAAGAACAATGTGTGAACCAAATGAATGTGTTAAATTCAAACTTATGGTCAACCAAATGCTAACAGATTCCTCAGTATTCTGGTATTTCTTAATTTGTATATTTGACTGCTGTATCTACCAACAGACAAAATAATATATGCCCATTTAGAGGTGCTGTTATGCACATTTAGTTTTGCGGGTATATGTTGACAGAGACTGAAGACACCCTGGGAGGAAACAAATCCAGCTTCCCGCATTGACTTTGGAGTCTCATGTGGGGGGAGGGTTTGACAGAAAGCCCCAAAGGCCCCGGGGAAGAGCAATCAGTCTTCTGATTCTTTGGAAAACCTTCTGCTCCTCCCCCCAAGAGACTTTGCTGTTAAACAGGTCCGGCTCCAGTGGGGATAGGTCATGACCGTAGATGGTGGCGATGGGTTCTGGCCAAACAAAACCTTGGAGAATGATCTCTTTGAACTGTGTTTTGCAGCATTTTATGGAAATAGGTGGAGGTGATCCATTAACTAAAACAAAATTGATTTGCTTTTGCTGGGATGGTTGGTCTCAATATCTCATAGAACTGTAATGGCAAACCTATGCCATGTGTGCCAGAAGTGGCATGCAGAACCATCTCTCTGGGCACGCGAACCATTGCCTGTTGTTCTTCTGGGTT